TCCAGGCGTCTCACCGGCGTCCCTTCCCTCCTCCCTCGCCCAGGTCGGTGGGAAACGCCGCGATGAGGCTTTACAGTCTAAGTGTCCTTTACAAAGGCGACCCCAAAGTGCGTTTACTGAAAGCTGCCTACGATGTGTCCACTTTCAACTTCTTCCAGAGATCCAGGTGGGTCCCGGAAGCGCCGGCTCCTCGCGATGGGGATTTGGGGTGCCGCACTGCTGATGTGCGGCTCGAGCATGAACTCGGGGAGGGGGAGCAGAAGCTTTTTTGGTGTTCCCTTCCCCGTTCCGCCGCTATTCCTGTGTCGCCAGGGACGGGTTGCTTAGATGTGGTGGCAACGGTAATGCACTTCTAAGGATAACCGTACCCGAAACAGAGCTGCTTCCAGAGGGCCCTCGGGACTCCTTATGTTCCTGAGACCCTGGATGGACAGTCGTGCAGCTGAGCCTTACAAAATCCATTTAGAGTGATCTTTGTGTCTGATGGGGGAGATGAGCTTTTGCTTTGTTCCTAAAAGATACTCAGGAACTCAAACAAGATGCAGCATTTGCTTCAATAATTTTTCCATTGCCTCAGAATGGCAAAACTTGGATGCTGTGAAACACCTTGCCTGCTAGTGTGGATTATTCTCCCTAGAGTAAGTGCCTAAACCTGCTAGTCACGGAAGCTCTTTGGGCGTGAGAGGCGAGTGGGAGGTGGCTTGTGCTTGTGTCAGACTAATAAGGCTGGTGTGACAGCTTTGGGAACCAGTATCTTCTTATTCTGATGTTTTGTCTAATAATAAACTTTTCCCAGCTCACCAATTCCTGCTCAAGAGTATTTGAGCTGGGTTCTGACAGCTTGGGATGAGCCCGTTGAGCGCTAAATGCTAATCCTCGCTTCCTGTCATCCCACTGAGCGACAGCTCTCTGCGAAATCCGTGTGTGCAAAGAGATCATGGAGCTCTTTCAGCAGTTGTCCCTGCGTTTGCTAGAGGTCTTGCCCTCCGCCCTTGGAGGCAGAGAGGAGCTCCCAAAAGCATCTAGAGAGCTGTAAAAGAAAGCAGATGCCTGTTGCAAAACAATTTGTTTCCCAGTCCCCTGGTTCCAGATGATAAAGGCTTTAGGAAATATTTGCCTACAGGACTCCAATTTTCCGTGCCTAGTCCCTGCCAAGATTTTATTGAGGTCTTGAGCACATTTGTTTCTGCAGTTCCAGTGATAAAGGGAAAATACTTCAGCGAGGTTGTCTCAAAAATATTCCCTTAGCCAAATCTGTGAGAGGAATAAACGAGCTGTGACAGTTCTGCCAACGCACATGCTCGAAGATGGGTTGTGCTCAGTGAAGTAATCTCTTATAAACCCAAATCACTTCATAATCGCGGTTCTTGGTTTTCCAAAGCTTGATAAAGTTCATTGCACGGTTTTGCTGTCTGGTACGGCCAAAGGAGCTGTTTCCACAGCAGCTGGTTTCTGCTCGCGCACTGCAGGAAAGAAACAAAAATGAAGGATCCTATAACGCGTGTTAAGATACTCCTGCCTGGTGAAACAGGCCGCGAGCCTGCACATAGACGGGCAGGCAGAGAGCTCCCTGTTCACCCCCTTTGGTGACTGCGCTGCTTCCGGGCTCCCTAAACGCAGTTATTTATTTGTTAAAAGTGTCTCATCTTTGCAGTTGACAGCAACGCCGTTTGGGTTGAAGTCAGCTGGGAAATGGGGTGATGAGAGGTGTTTCTCGTTAGTTTGACGGCTTTTTTTATAGTGGCTAATCCTTTTCCAGAGCTAATGTTCCAGCTGGGCAGCACATTCATATTGAAACGGGTGTGCACGAGTAGCCCGGTTGACGCTGGAGGGGCTGCTTGTGTGCCTGTGGGAACACAGCCTAGATGGGATATGTAAGGGGCAATTAAATTAAATTTGGGCTAAAACGCTGTGCATACGCGCTGGTGCTGTCTTTTGGTCCTGTAAAACTACCAGAGCGGTGGGTTTGGTTTTTGAATTTGTGATCATCTCGGTTGCGTTTCTTGTGAAATGTGAGAATCTGCCAAAAGGAGGGGCAGGAGTTGGAGGCGTAGGGGTCCAGTCTGGCTGAGGGGGAAGTGAATTGTGCCTGACTTCAGATGCTGGTGTGTCTGGCTATTTGGGATAGGCGCCAGGAACCTGAAGGCAGCCTGAAGGAATGAAATCTTAGCTGGTTGATTCTTTTGGGAATAACATGAAATACTGGAATCGCAAACGCAGCGGCTGGCAGCTGCCTGCGAGTCCCCAAACTAGAAGGAATGTTTCTGTCCTCTGTTGCTACCGAGGTTGGATGTTGAGAAATCGTTGGGCCAATCTTTCTCTGGAAACCCAGCGTTGCGTTCCGAAAGTCTCTCGGTGGAGCTGACACCTGATCACGTGGGAGAGATGCACGATAGACTGGGAGAAATGCAAAAAAACCTCCCAAGTATTACCTAAATTTTAACAAGCAAATCCCCCTTCTAGATTTGCTTCCAGTGAGGGAAGGTAACTAGAAAAATCTCGGTCTTTGCTGTGACGAGGTGTCTGTGTTAAGTTATGTTTTGCCTCTGTCTTGTCACGTGAAGCCAGGAGAGTGGGAACTGTTTGTGTCGAGCGTCTTTAAGCAAACTGTGTAATCTGAACAAGATTAGCTCCTATGAAAGGTGCCCTCTCTTGTGATTTTCCAGCTGAAGTGAGGAATGTGTAGTCCAGCTTTTATTAATTCCTGGGTGCCCAAGACAGAGCATCGGGGAAACAGATTTGTTTTGCGCTTGCTCATGTTTTTTGGGGGGACGAGTTTTGTTACTGCGGGGTGAAGAAAAGTGTTTGTGTGGGAAATCTGTTTGTTAAGTCTGGGCTCAAAAAAGTTAATGGGCTGTTTCCAAGCTTGCTCTGCCTGACTTAAGGAAGTTCCTTGTGCAAATAAACTTTGAATTTCTCTCCCTGCCTCGGCATAGATGTGGTACGTTTGCAGGTTAAATGGCCTCTCTCTGACCCTGGTGTCTTGCGTAGGAATTGGGTCGAGGCCAAAAGTGCCAGATAAAAACCTAATGTGTGAGTAGGGGCTGGAGCGCACCTGCGGCTCCTTGCTGTGCCTGAGCAGGGAGGAGCAACTCGTGAGGCTTTAGCCAGGCAGATAAAAGCTTCAATGGTGTTTTACTTTCTGCCAAATCAACAAAAAGGAGGTTCAGCCTGGGAATAAAAGTCTCTCGACATGGCCTGTGGACTCTTTCCTGCGCCGAGCACCTGTAGCGAAGCTGCAGGTGCGTTCAGGTTGCGGCTGGAGGTGCTGGAGCTGTGGCTGCTGTTCTGAGCAAATGCAGAGTCCGGCCCCTCGCTGCCCCTTCACCTGTCCTTTGCCAAGGAAGAACCGTGGCTAAGTCACGTCCCTGCTACCCCCAACTGCGGGGGATGTGATGAGTGGATGTGGTGGGAGAGGAACCGTCCTGCCTCTTACTGGGGTTCTCTTCACCTGTCCTTTGCCAAGGAAGAACCGTGGCTAAGTCACGTCCCTGCTACCCCCAACTGCGGGGGATGTGATGAGTGGATGTGGTGGGAGAGGAACACAGGACTCCAATTTTCCGTGCCTAGTCCCTGCCAAGATTTTATTGAGGTCTTGAGCACATTTGTTTCTGCAGTTCCAGTGATAAAGGGAAAATACTTCAGCGAGGTTGTCTCAAAAATATTCCCTTAGCCAAATCTGTGAGAGGAATAAACGAGCTGTGACAGTTCTGCCAACGCACATGCTCGAAGATGGGTTGTGCTCAGTGAAGTAATCTCTTATAAACCCAAATCACTTCATAATCGCGGTTCTTGGTTTTCCAAAGCTTGATAAAGTTCATTGCACGGTTTTGCTGTCTGGTACGGCCAAAGGAGCTGTTTCCACAGCAGCTGGTTTCTGCTCGCGCACTGCAGGAAAGAAACAAAAATGAAGGATCCTATAACGCGTGTTAAGATACTCCTGCCTGGTGAAACAGGCCGCGAGCCTGCACATAGACGGGCAGGCAGAGAGCTCCCTGTTCACCCCCTTTGGTGACTGCGCTGCTTCCGGGCTCCCTAAACGCAGTTATTTATTTGTTAAAAGTGTCTCATCTTTGCAGTTGACAGCAACGCCGTTTGGGTTGAAGTCAGCTGGGAAATGGGGTGATGAGAGGTGTTTCTCGTTAGTTTGACGGCTTTTTTTATAGTGGCTAATCCTTTTCCAGAGCTAATGTTCCAGCTGGGCAGCACATTCATATTGAAACGGGTGTGCACGAGTAGCCCGGTTGACGCTGGAGGGGCTGCTTGTGTGCCTGTGGGAACACAGCCTAGATGGGATATGTAAGGGGCAATTAAGTTAAATTTGGGCTAAAACGCTGTGCATACGCGCTGGTGCTGTCTTTTGGTCCTGTAAAACTACCAGAGCGGTGGGTTTGGTTTTTGAATTTGTGATCATCTCGGTTGCGTTTCTTGTGAAATGTGAGAATCTGCCAAAAGGAGGGGCAGGAGTTGGAGGCGTAGGGGTCCAGTCTGGCTGAGGGGGAAGTGAATTGTGCCTGACTTCAGATGCTGGTGTGTCTGGCTATTTGGGATAGGCGCCAGGAACCTGAAGGCAGCCTGAAGGAATGAAATCTTAGCTGGTTGATTCTTTTGGGAATAACATGAAATACTGGAATCGCAAACGCAGCGGCTGGCAGCTGCCTGCGAGTCCCCAAACTAGAAGGAATGTTTCTGTCCTCTGTTGCTACCGAGGTTGGATGTTGAGAAATCGTTGGGCCAATCTTTCTCTGGAAACCCAGCGTTGCGTTCCGAAAGTCTCTCGGTGGAGCTGACACCTGATCACGTGGGAGAGATGCACGATAGACTGGGAGAAATGCAAAAAAACCTCCCAAGTATTACCTAAATTTTAACAAGCAAATCCCCCTTCTAGATTTGCTTCCAGTGAGGGAAGGTAACTAGAAAAATCTCGGTCTTTGCTGTGACGAGGTGTCTGTGTTAAGTTATGTTTTGCCTCTGTCTTGTCACGTGAAGCCAGGAGAGTGGGAACTGTTTGTGTCGAGCGTCTTTAAGCAAACTGTGTAATCTGAACAAGATTAGCTCCTATGAAAGGTGCCCTCTCTTGTGATTTTCCAGCTGAAGTGAGGAATGTGTAGTCCAGCTTTTATTAATTCCTGGGTGCCCAAGACAGAGCATCGGGGAAACAGATTTGTTTTGCGCTTGCTCATGTTTTTTGGGGGGACGAGTTTTGTTACTGCGGGGTGAAGAAAAGTGTTTGTGTGGGAAATCTGTTTGTTAAGTCTGGGCTCAAAAAAGTTAATGGGCTGTTTCCAAGCTTGCTCTGCCTGACTTAAGGAAGTTCCTTGTGCAAATAAACTTTGAATTTCTCTCCCTGCCTCGGCATAGATGTGGTACGTTTGCAGGTTAAATGGCCTCTCTCTGACCCTGGTGTCTTGCGTAGGAATTGGGTCGAGGCCAAAAGTGCCAGATAAAAACCTAATGTGTGAGTAGGGGCTGGAGCGCACCTGCGGCTCCTTGCTGTGCCTGAGCAGGGAGGAGCAACTCGTGAGGCTTTAGCCAGGCAGATAAAAGCTTCAATGGTGTTTTACTTTCTGCCAAATCAACAAAAAGGAGGTTCAGCCTGGGAATAAAAGTCTCTCGACATGGCCTGTTGGCTAGCCTAACAGAGGGCTGGTTGCATCGCTTGCTGCTGAATCCCAGCGCGTAGCGGGGTGCGCCTGGGTCCCCTTGGCTGCGTTATGCCCAGCGGGGAGGAGACTCAAGGGCGGCCACCTTTGTGCTTGCAGCATTCAAGAATTCATGACCTTCACGAGCCAGCTGATCGTGGAGCGCTCGGAGCTGGGCAGCAGAGCCTCTGTCAAGGAGCAAGGTAAGAGGACAGTCTGCGCAAAGCCGAAGGATGCGTGGGTCTGGGGGGCAGGACACGGAGCCCAGGGTCCTGAGCCACAGGTGTTTCATTCCTTGTGCATCCGTGAGCCCCTGAAATGAGGTGCTTCCCTTCTTGGGGCAAATAATAATAAAAACATGACATTGCTGAGCGGGACGAGCCTCCACGAGTGCTGCCTGCCCCGTGAGAGAGGTTACAGGGATTGGCGAGCCAAGACCCGGCTGGTAACACCCAAAGCTG